ACAATATTTGTCCTTTTGTGATTGACTTATTTCACTCAGCATAATGTCCTCCAGTTTCATCCATGTTATGAGATGGTTCACAGATTCATTGTTGGGGAACCTAACACTTTTGAAGAGAAGCTGCATCAGACTTTACTTTTACATTCATTAATCCAGGGATCTCAAATTTGACCTTGCTGAGGCGTCACTTGGAGGGCTTGTTAAAACAGATCCCTGGTCCACACTCCAGGGTTTCTGATTCAGTAGGTGAGGAGCGGGGCCTGAGAATTTGCATTTCCAACAAGTTTCCCAGTCATGCTGTTGCTGGTGGTCTGTGGATCCTGCTTTGAGAACCTCTGCATGAATCTCTTTTGATGCATATGCTTGTCATCATGGTAACTCTCGGAAATGCTTAGAAACCATCACCCGCACATCTCTTTGCACCATCCATTCTTTACACAGGGCTATTTCTTATTTCTTACTGGGGTCACAGGTTGGTCCTCTTAAGTGTCTGCTCAGGTAGTGCAGGAGCATCAGAGGAGCTTCACCAGCAAGAGGGGGATTGGGCCTCTGCACATGAAAAAATAACTCTCGTCTCTGATGTAGAGCAGACTACAGGGAGTAGCGTGAAGATTATACAAGCAGATTTTACCAAAGACGACATCTATGAGTATATTAAAGAAAACCTTAAAGGCTTAGAAATTGGAATTTTAGGTAAGTAAATCGTGAAATGCAAAGCTTGCTGTAATACATCAGTGAAATGATTATCTTAACAACACTTGGATTATTTCGCGGTAGCTTAAATTTAACCCATGGTTGTATTTTAAACTGTAGTATTAAACTGAATATTAAAGGGCAATTTTTCAAGGGACATTACTGGATTAAAAAATTTATATACGGCTTTGGAATGTATCCAATTTAGATATTTTGATCTTTCTCACCATAATTTCTAATATTAAAATGAATTTTTTCCACTGTACTGATATTAACATTTGTCAGGAAGAGAGGGCCCAGAAATACTGGTCTAAAGGAATTAGTTTAGCATAAAGCATTGTTGTGGTTAATCTATTAAGTAGTGAGCAAGTGTGGTTATTTGAAAATGGACTCTCTTATTTAAAAAACAATATATCATCTTTTCTGTGATGATTTATCAGCAAGATTATTTTGTACCAAATATACAGTGTGTTGTTTGTATTATATACAGAAGGAAGTAAGATATGATTTCTAAACATTCTGCTAAATTTTAAAAGATAACTACATTCTTTACTAAAAAAATGTAAAACGTATCATTGCAGAAAATTGGGAATAACAGATGAGCACATAAAAGAAATATAAATTTCTTTTAAAATCTCAATTGTCTGAGATAGCATTTTGGTGCATATCTGTCTACGCATAATAGACACATACTTTCAAAACTGGGAGTGTAGTTACATACTGTTTTTAACCTTTTCCTTTAAACTTACATCACAAGTGTTTTTCTCCCCATGTCTTTACAATTCTAAGTAGCCGTAATTTTCAGTGGCTGCACTGTGTTCCACCATATAAATGCACGATGACTCCTTTAATCTCTTCTTTTATTATCAGACAACAAAATTTTCCCTTTAATTTCCTCACTGTTATCAAATCATGTTGCAATGAACAATCTTGGATATAATTTTTTTATACATATTTCCCAAGAGAAGAATTTCTAGGTTTAATGCAAACATTTTTAAGGCTTGTAATAAGCATTAGCTAGCTGGTTATCTGACACATTTTGTTTTTTCCCGTTAGTCAACAATGTCGGAATGCTTCCAAACCTTCTCCCGAGCTATTTCCTTAATGCACCGGATGAAATCCAGGTAGACTTGTGCTCTTATGCATGTGTTTCCTCTCAACCAGGTACTGTGCCCTCTGGATGGATAATCACCAGGGCCTAGAAGAGGGTAATAGGAAATGTGTTTGGCCAAAATTCTGTATTCAATGGCATGTATTTTGAGGCATTCCTTTCTTTTTACCTTATACTTGATACATAGACACTTGTTCCACTTTTCATGACCATCTCTAGGATAAAGACATCTTCTCCCTTCTCTGCACATCAGAACTTACCTGCTCACTGCCCCATCCATTCGTGGCGAAAATCTGCATGACAAATTCATAGCCAACTCTTTGGCTTTCTCTGTCTTCCCAGGTAATAATATTTGTTTAGCTTTCAGTGTGAGGAAAGGACATGAGAAAGACTCTATGGTTGGGATATTGTAAGTTTAGCAAGCTTGGCTCAGACTCATGGCAGCCATTGTTTGGTCATGATGGCATTTTATGCATTCAACAGTTCCTGATGGTGCTATTTGTTGACCTTCCCCAGGCCCTGACCTTTGAGGTATAGGGTTATACCAATTCCAAACAGGCAATTATGGTTCTATTCCCCAGTTCCTGGTCAAGTATCACCTGCAAGGTTTCCCCTATGGTCCTATTTAGTAAGCCCTAGGTTGACTTCCTTGGCATATAATGCCAGATTGCTTGACCATTGCTGTCACTGTCTTGCCAAATTCCCGTCTTGGCCATGCATTCAACCCCATGTGCTCTTGTTTTCAACACTTCCTGTTTCTGGCACAAGTCTGTATCTCTCCTCTGATGTATCATTGATGCTTTATTCTTGCTTCTCTTCCTTTAGTTATATCTGTTTGAGTGTGTGTGCTTGTTCCTGTGTCTGTCCCCCTTTCTCTCTCTCTGTTTTGCGTGATTCTATTAGTTTCTTTATCTGGCCTCTCTACCCCAGAACCTCTACCTTGTATTATATAACCATTCACCTTTCTGTTCTTCTAAACTCACATATGCCAACCCCCTCGTCCTCTAATTGGAAAATGAACACCTCCCTTTGAAAAACCCTATCCTTACGCCTTGCTAAATTTTCAAGGAGACTCTTACCGACTTTAGGATCACATACTTACAGAATCATAGAATGGAAGTCTGATGTTACCCAACTTCTGTCCATACTCACTGAACATCAATTAAGAGCCTAATTTGCAGGCTGGGTGAATGATGGCACTGCTCAGATCCACACTTTTGTCCACGGCATAGTTCTTTAGCACTGACTACTCCCCAAGAGAATTTGTCTAACAATTGGGCTGATTGATGGTTGTGATTATTTATTACAGAGCCTCATCCATTGTAACATGACCTCAGTAATCAAGGTATGTGATCAATATGTGTGCCAAATGCATTAAAATATAGTAGCTGTTGAATCTGGCAGCTCGGGGGAATACCGCTTTCCACTGTAGAAGCAGAATTCTTTGAAACTGAACCAAACTTGATTGAGAGGCTGTGTAGTTGTCTTTTAATTATGTTATCTTGATTTCATCAAGAAAATACAGCGATGAAGTCATTCTCCTTAGTATCTGAATCCTATTTTTGCATGCAGTTTTGTCACGTCAATGCTAGTTCTCATTCAGGATTCCAAGGCAATTTTTTTTTTTAAATTGAAAACCTTCCTCTAATTTTAATCTTTGTATATGAGGAAAGCTTGTTCTGTCTGGAAAAAAGACATAGGACATGGCCTGAATTTTCTGGACTTTTGTTGTTCAATAAATATTTGTTGAATTGAAGCTCAAGTTCACCTGTATTTTAATCTCAGTTTGGTTACTAATTAGTTGGACAGAGTTGGGCAAGTTATTTAACCCCCTTGAACTTTAGATTCTTCATCTGTTATTAAAACGGGGTTGGACTAACTGATGTCTTAGGTGCTATTCAAACTTCCAGTCCTCTGATTAAGATCAACTGCATAAGCATTTATAGCACAACTACCCCAAAGCTATCCTATACTATATCTCTTCATGAATAAGAAAAAGGTGCCCCCTCTGGGAAATTTAAAAAAAGTGCAGCGTAAGCATGGACACAGAGTCTCTGGGTGGTGCAAATGGTTAATGCACTCGACTGCTTACTGAAAGCTTGGCAGTTCCACTCCACCCAGAGGTGCCTCAGAAGAAAGGCTTGGTAATCTACTTTCAAAACTCATTGAAACCCCTATGGAGCACAATTCTACTCTGACACACATCGGGTCAGTTGCCATGTGTTGGCATCAACTTATCGGCAACTGGTTTTTGTTTTTTAAATGTGGACACTGCCTGACTTGCTGAGTAGATGATGTTTTTCTGTGAACAAATGTTTTCCCTTCCTCTGAGAGGATAGACTCTCTACCTTTACCAGAGTACATGCCTTGTGAGTGAACCCTGGCCTTTCAGTCTCAACTTACTCCCACACCCGGGAAACTTGTTTAGTGCACAAAGTTCACAACTGGACATGGCAGCCCTGGTGACCTCTCTGGAAGGGCCATTGGAATGGCAGTAATGAACAAGGTATGATCTTTGACCTCATGGAGATGGGACCCTGGTTGGGGAGCAGGGGGAGGCTCAGTCTCACTCATTTGAATATCATAGACTGACAGTGGAGGGGGAAGCCAGTTCAAAATTAGGTTGTCGTCAACATAAGAAGGGTGGATGGATGCTGGGCAGACCAAACAAAAACTATTTTCAGGTGGATAAGTTAGGCTGACAACAATTATTTTCACCACTGGTAGTTTCTCTTCTAAACGTGCTGGTATTTTATAGTTTCCTACTCTGTTGTTATTGGACACATACATTCTTTTTATGCTGAGCAATCAATGACTTTTTAAAGCTCTCGGCTGACGTAGTTGTAAGTTTTATATGTCCAACAGTTGTCTGCAGCCTGGCCACTAAAACTTTTCATGTTGTTTTTGCACATTGATCTTTCAGTCTTGGTCTGTTTGATCACAGGGATTTCCCAAATGTATTTGACAACGCTCTGACTTCTTTAGCAGAGAAATGTTTTGATTTGCTTAAAAAAATCATTTTATATATTGTTAGACACTAACCTCCCTACATAATAGAGAAAATAAATTGAAGATTAGCTTTTAAGTCTGACATGCCCTGATTAGCCATGCTGGTTGGAAGCATGTCCACAAGGAGCCATCTGGGATTAGTAGAGTTTTCTATCAAGAGTGGAGAAGGGAACATGAGTGTAAGGGCAGAGTGCAGATGGGATAAGAGAATAAATATTGGGAGCTTTGAGACGGGGATCCACAAAGTCCATTGTTGTCTCTCTAATGGGGATCAATCACCCCATAAGGCTAGTAAATTCATTTGGGAGACCTTTGAGGAAATTCTGGTGTTGTCCAACAGTGCTCTAACTAATACCCTTAATGAAACGGAGGGAGTCAGGGAAAAGGTTTGGACACAATCTGGTCCCCCACCCTTCTCTCACCTCTTTCAAAATTTGGTGTTTCAAGAGGTAACACAGTGGGTTCTCCCCCTGCACTTCCTGCCCCATAGCAATGAAAACATTATCTGGAGACTCTCTGAGATAGGCTGAGGGGCTGGCTGATGACATGGGAGCAGTAGTAGGGTCAGAGCCTACTGAGAAGCTATGCAAGGCCCTCAGACAACCGGGAGAAGTAGGCGAAGTCTGTTTTCTGGGCCTCAGTTGTCTTAGTTATCTAGTGCTGCTATAACAGAAATACCATAAGTGGATGGCTTTAACAAGCAAAAATTTATTCTTTCGCAGTTTAAGAGGCTAGAAGTCCAAATTCAGGGTGCCAGCTCCAAGGGGAAGGCTTTCTCTCTCTGTTGGGCCTGGGGGAAGGTCCTTGTCATCAATCCTCTAGGAGCTTCTTAGTGCAGGGACCCCAGGTCAAAAAGACACACTTGCTCCCACCTCTTCTTTCTTGGTGGTAGGAAGTCCCTCTCCTCTCTGCTTGCTTCTCTCTGTTCTATCACAAAAGAGATTGACTCGAGATAAAACCTAATCCTGTAGATTGAGTCCTGCTTCATTAACATAACTGCCTCTAATCATGCATCATTAACGTCATAAAACCTGTTGCCATCAAGTCAATTCTGACTCAAAGCAACCTTACAGGACAGAGTAGAATTGCCCCATAGTGTTTCCAAGGAGTAGATGGAGGATTCGAACTGCCGACTTTTTGGTTAGCAGCCGAGCTCTTAACCACTGCATCACCAGGGCTCCAACATCATAGGGGTTAAGATTTATAACACATAGGAGAATCACATCAGATCACAAAATGGTGGACAACCACACAATACTGGGAATCATGGCCTAGCCAGGTTGACACACATTTTTGGGGTACACAGTTCAATCAATAATAATGGTCTCCTTTATTTCTTTTACCTCCCCTTCCCTTTGGATCTCCTTAGTCTCCAACCTGCCCCTGGGAAAGGGCCTGATTTTGGTCAATTATACTTTATAGAACGTTTCAGTCTATGAGTTTGGCTCTTAATTTTTAAAATTTGCCTTCCTTGTATGGTGAAGTGCAAAACTCCTTTAACAGAATAGCTAGGTTCCAGAACTGGTTGGGAAGACCTTTCCAGGAGGCAGTAGGTTGGGAGGGATGTTGTTATTCCAATAGGCAGGCAGTGGCTACATGGTCTGTCCACTGAACTATTTCACAGAACAACTGCAGGCAGGCTGTTTTAAAAAAAAAACAAAACAGCTGCTGTCGAGTTGACTCCCACTCATGGTGACCCCAAGTGTGTTAGAGTAGAACTGCTCCATAAGGTTTTCAATGGCTGATATTTCAGAAGTAGATCACCAGCTCTTTCTTCCCAGGTGCCTCTGGGTGGATTTGAACTTCCAGCCTTTCTGTTAGCAGGCAAGCTGCTTCGGCTGCTGCTTTTGAATAGAAGAGATGTCCTTCTCCATCTCATACCTTGTACATGAGATGCCTATTGATGCTTTTTAGGTTTCCTGATGATCCCCCAGTTCTAACTCATGGATGGGGTTTAAGATGGCCAATCGACTTTTGTCTGTCTCCCAGGATACGGTATCTTGGGATTCTCAGTGTTGATCCTATTCTCTGCCCTTATTTTCTAGGAAAACTTTAGCTTTAAAGAGAAGAAACCAAAGGACTCTGAACAGTTTGTGGTTTGTCTAGTTGCTTCCTATGTGTTTCAACCAGGCTCCTGTTGTCAGAATTACCTCCCATGAGAGTCAAGGCCATTTGGGAAGATTACGCTCTTTCACCAGCTTCCTCTAGTACTCTCCTCCCCACTTAGCTCCTTTGCAAGTGCATAACTTTGGTTTTCTTTTGTAGATGACACAGCTGATTCTGAAACACATGGAATCAAGGTAAGGCCTTCCTTTGAAAAAGCGTGGAGCTGCTTGGTCTCCTTGTCCTGGTAGTCAGCTGACCTGGAGGTTGGGGGGTTGAGTTCATTCTGGCTGCTGCTTTAAGGAATGATAAAAATCTATGATGAAAGAAAATGAAGATTAATGGGAGAAGCATAACACTTCAGCCCAACTTTGCAGACAGATAAGCATACTTGTAGACCAAAATGTAACATATCCTCCAGGGAGGAAGAGATAGCAGTTTCAGCACACATTGGATGATAAACAATTGACTCATGTTGAACATAAAAGAAACTTTAGCAGCTGGCCTGAGACCAAGACCATCTCTATGTGGTTATGAATTTCAGCTTTTGTCAGGATGAATGCCACAATTTAGTGGTGAAAATTGCCACCATGTCAGTTTCTCCATTTATTATATAACTTCCTCACCTGATTACAACACCCACTGGGGAGTTGTTTTTTTATTCAGGATACCCAGGTTCGATTCCCAGCCAATGCACCTCATGCGCAGCCACCACCCATCTGTCATTGGAGGCTTGCCTGTTGCTATGATGCGGAACAGGTTTCAGTGGAGCTTCCAGACTAAGATGGACTAGGAAGAAAGATCTGGTGACCTACTTTTGAAATCAGCCAGTGAAAACCCTATAGATCATAATGATCCCATCCACAACCCATCATGGGGATGGCACAGGGCCTGACAGGGTTTTATTCCATTGTGTGTGGGGTTGCCGTGAGTAGAAGCTGACTTGACGGCAGCTAACAACAGCAATGTTCATTAAAAGCAAATGGTTGATAGTCTTCTCTTCCCTAGAGGAAAAGGGGGCTTCATCTTATGTATCGATTAGACATTTCTTTATTTATTTTTGGATTGCACCCATCTAATCGGGAAGGATTAAGGACTTTGAACTTCAAAAGTCCTGGAGACTTGCGTAAGGGTCCCGGTATGAGCAGAGGCTGGATCACCAAATACTATCCAGGACAGCATTCTACCATAGGTCATCTGTGCTGTTGTGGGTCAGCTTATAAGTCAGAAGGAAACTTTGAGCTCACACAGTCCTATTTGAGAGAGAAGAATGCCTCCTTGAATCTTGTCCAAGCTTAGATGGTTATCTGTATTTTGGTGGGGAGATCTTTGTTGTAGCGGGTCTCTCTTTCCCATAATAAGCCCTTACTGTGCAAAGGAATGCCAAGACTGATGTTATCATGAGGATGACATGTTCTAGCCCATGACATCATCTAGCCTCTAGTGTCATCTAGCTAATGATGTAGGAAGTTCCATTCACAGCTCTGGGAAACAGAGAGAGCACTTAATACACTTGCCAGCCTAGAGAGAAAGGAGTTATCAGAGAGTTACTATGAGCCCCTTTGTTTTCTTCCTACCCTGCAGCAAACCAATCAAAACTTTGCTTCTTTGCCATTTAGGGGGAAAGGACTCATCTTGAACATTTCTTCTGGAGCAGCCCTCTTTCCTTGTCCTCTATACTCTTTGTATTCAGCTTCCAAGGTGAGTGACATCATAAAGTTCAAGTCCTCTCCTCCTTTTTCCTCTATTTTTCCTAGTTGGTATTTTCCTTTGGATCATCTGGCAAGTTTATGAAAAGATTTGCCTGGGGACGCTCTTATATGCACAGGCAGAGCAGCCAAGTCTGTGCAAATGAAGAAAAGTTACCCCCTCTGGGAAGATGAAGCCCCACAGCAGCAAAGCTTGACAAGTCCAACCCCTGAGAGATTCCAGTCACCATTCACCTCCTTGGCTGGGAAGCCTTGGTGTCTTCCTGCTAACAAGTACAATGGTAGCTTCCTTCCAGTCCTAGAGGGCTAGCCTGGTGTCTCCATGCCTAATTATCAAAATAAACCCTAGTGGAGGGGGAGAAGGAGAGGGCAGATGTCCTCTAGACAAGGGACAGCTTCCGCTGGGTGGATTAACCTGTATGCAGTAGCCCTGTTTTTGCTACCCGTCACTCATGGCGACCCCTTGTGTTACAGAGTAGGACTGCTTCATAGGTTTTTCTTGGCCGTGATTTTTACAGAAGCAGAGTGTCAGGCCTTTTTTCTGCAGAGTAGGTTCGAACCACCAACCTTTTGGTTAGCAGCTGATCACAAACCTCTTGTGCCACCTAGGCTCCATGTAGTGGCCCTGTTTTTATTGTTACATGCCTTTGAGTCAATTTTCAACTCATAGTGACCCAATGTGACATAGTAGACTACCCCATAGAGTTTTCTAGGCTGTAATCTTTATGGGAGCAGATCTCCAAGTCTTCCTCCCACTGAGCAGGTGGGCGGGTTCAAACCACCAACCTTTCAGTTAGCAGCTCAGTGCTTAACTATTGAGCCACCAGGGCTCCTTGCAGTGGCTCTAGGTATGGACTTATTGAAGAATGTATGTTCTCACTGATTGAGGGAACCCTTCCCAGACAAAGGCAGGGGAAACATCTTGGTAGAAATGAAATACTGACTCCCATTAAGACAAACTGCTGCACTCTAAGGTGGAGTAGGTAGGCTTTTGCGGTGCCCTTTGAAATCTGAGTTAAGTTGGCTCTGATGGGAGAAAGAAAGCTTTTGGTTCTTAGGTATCTTTCCCTTCATTGCTCCAGGCTTTTGTGCGCACATTTTCCAAGGCACTCCAAGCGGAATATAAAGCGAAAGGAATCATTATACAGGTAAGGTCAATAGTTCTGAGTTCTTGGGAATAGGAACTCCTGGATCCCCAGTAGAGCGAGAGCCCCTGCCTCCTGCAGGACTGTCCTGGAATGGGGGTGGGGGGAATGGTCTGCATGAAGCCATGTGAATTCTTGTGAACATCATGGTGGCAGCTGCAGCCACTGTGGTTCTGGCTGCCCCTGGCCGTTGCTGCCTCCCTCAGTCATAGCCTGGGTGCTGGAGAGGGAAATAGGGCCTTGTGAGTGATTGCTCAGAGGTGCTATCAACCTCCCTTACTCCCTGATGCTACATCAGAACAGAAATCATAGTCTTAGCTTACCATTCTTTACTCTCTGACCTTGGTACAGTAGGCAGGCTTATGTGGGAGGAGGTGTCAAGCAGGGACAAAAGAAAACTGGGCATTTAGTCCCTGTTGGAAGAAGGGGAGGGACTCTTAACTCTGTGCGTGTGTGTGTGTGTGTGTGTGTGTGTGTGTGTGTCTCTTGGGGGCTGTGCATCCCCACACTCTGGTTCTTGAGCAGTAGGACAGGTGGCTCTGTTTCCCCTTTCACCTACAACAGCAGAGAACTGATATGGATATCTTCTTGTCCTAAACTGAAAACAGAGCTGGCTTGTCACTGCCACCTGTCGGCTGAGCAATACGATGTCTCTGAGTGCCAATGGTTTACACGTGCTTGGTTCAGCAGCTGAGTTAGTTAAGTGGTTTCTGGAACCTTGAATATGCAATTTAGAGAAAGGTTTTTTTGCTGCATTTCGTTATTGTTATTTGGGAAGAAGTTTTATGACATGCTATTAAAAATGAGAAAGGCACACGCAAAGTTATATTTTAACATTATTGCTGCACATATTGATTTTCATAGCTACTGATGTAAGGTGACATAACTAATGTCACTGAATTATACATGTGAAGACTGTTGAAAAGGCAAACAATTTATTACACATATTTACCACACACACAAAAAAATGCCCAGGTGACACTATCTTAGACAGCTATTCCTTTACATTAGCCAGATACAAGGATAAAGCTTATTGAATAGGCAGATATGAATTAGTGGCAGGAATTTTGCAAGTAACATAGTATTCCCAGCCATAGTGAGTGAAGTAACAGCCACACCACTATACAACAGTACCTTCTTCTGCCCTTAACCAAAGTTTCATCCATCAGAGATTTTTCCCTCCTTTGATCCTACGCTCTCCATCCTCCAACTCCCAGCTGAAGATGGATTCCTTTTGCAACTGTGTTAGTCTGTATAGGCTAAGTTTGCTGCAGTAACAAACAACTCCAAACAGCTCGTTGGCTTAAAACAACAAGGTCTTATTTCTCATTCATGCTACCCTTTCATTGTTAGTTGGCAGAGGAGATAAGCTCGTTATAGTGATGCAGAGACTATAATCCACCATCTTGAATATTGTGTATTAATGTGCCAGAGAAAAAGTAGGAGTTCTAGAGGATCTTGCTTTGACAATTCAGTGCTCTGGCCCAGAAATGACACGCATCGCTTCTGCTCATAACTCCTTGGCCAGTTCTGGTCGCATGGTCCCACCACAGGGGCCCAGGAAGTGCAATTCTGTCATGTACCCAGAAGAAGGAAGCCAGAAATACTTGGTGAGCCACACTAATTACTTCCAGAGCTACCTGCTTCCTAGTCATGTAACACTCTTAGCATTGTCTTGATCTTGATAATTGTGAGCTGGAGATGCCGTGGCTGCCAAGTTAGTGAGCTCCGTGGAGCAGCAGGGTGGGGAAGAGATGGGGAGTAGGGGAAGGTTGTCCCTCCCATGATGCAGAATTTTGGAGCTGCTTTCCTAGCAAGTATGAGAAGGTGAGAAGACTCTGTGAGCTTTCAAAAACCACATGATATCTCTAAACACACACATAGCTGGTGTTCAATAAATATTTGTTAAATGGATGAGGAAGTATGTACCAGAGACTTGAGTTTAATTTTCAAATTCCAACTCTGCCCTTTACGATCTGAGTGATCCTGGACAACCTGCTTAAACACTGCGAGCCTCAGTTTCCTCATGAATAGAAAGGGGTTTATAATACCTGCTTACTTCTCAGGGTTATTGTGAGGACCTAATGAATAAATTGGAGTCCCTGTGTGGTACAAACGGTTAATGTGCTTGGCTGCTAATTGAAAAGCTGGAGGTTTGAGTCCACCCAGAGGTACCATGGAAGAAGGGCCTGGTGATCTACTTCCAAAAAACAACCAGTGAAAACTCCATGGAGCACAGTTCTACTCTGACACACACAGGATTGCCGTGAGTCAGAATCAACTCCACAACAACTGGTTAATAAATAAACAAGCATACAAGTTTAATCAATATTTATTGAGTCTCTATTTTGTACATCAAGGAGCCGTGGTGGCCCAGTGGTTAAGTGCTTGGCTGCTAACCAAGAGGTTGGTAGTTCGAACCAGCCAGCCTCTTTGCAGGAGAAAGATGTGGCAGCCTGCTTCTGTAAAGATTTACAACCTTGGAAACCTTATAGGGTAGTTTACTCTGTCCTATAGGGTCACTGTGAGTCAAAATTGACTCGATGGCAGGGGATATTTTGTACATATTTTGTCAACCAAACCATACTATAGGAATGAAAATAATTATTATTGTTACTCTACTGGAAACTGGAGTTGAGAATGCATGCCTCTTATGTAATCAAAGAGTAACACTTTAACATCCTTGGAAGAAAGCTGTTATGCCAATTAATCACAGCATTAATTTCCATAAGAACCAAAGGATTCAATTATGACGTAATATACTTTCAAATACGAGGTGAAGAGAATTTCAAATGTGATATGAATAAAAATAAAACTAAGCAAACTAGCATGGATCTTTCTTCTTTCTAAAGATGCCAAGTACTATGTGTCTGAGAATAAAGCAATAAAACCCCATTATGAAATCTCATGCCAGGCCACATGTTGGTTTGGCTACAGGTGGAAACATTTCATGGCACAACATGTGGTTGCTTATTTTTCTTACCACCACAGGAAAGATTATGAGGTGAGTTCCACTCCTAGCTCCTAACTGAAGTGTTACATGTATTAGAAATAAATTTCTGAGGTAGGATTGACAGACAAAATAGAAGAAACCCAGTTAAATTTGAATTTCAGATAAACAATGAGTAATTTTTTAGTATAAATATGTCCCATACAATACTTGCGACATACTTACACTAAAAAATTATTTGTTGTTTATTTGAAGTTCAAATTTAACTGGGTGTCCTGTATTTTTATTTCTAAATCTGGCAACCATATTCTGAGAGATAGCTCATGACCTCACAGTCACCCTGTGTGCTTGCTGGGCGAGGGGGGGTAGTTGGGCCACCTGATGTTGTGTGTTTACACCCTCATCTTGAGTGACAAAGTCAGAACCAGAAACCAAGCTTTCTGATTCCAATCTCTGTGCCAGCTCTGCACCTTTTCATCGTTTTGTAATCATTTAGGATCCTGAAACCTTTTATAGGAAGAAAAGAGTTAGAAAATGAAGGATGGCAAAGTGGATGTTGATTTCTCAGGGTCTTTCTCAGTGATGGATTGCTGCTGTGTTATGGTCTTTATTTCCCATTGTAGGTGCTGACCCCCTATGCTATTTCAACCTCGATGACAAAGTATCTAAATCCTAACATGATAACCAAGACTGCCAATGAGTTTGTTAAAGAATCAATGAATTACATTACGGCTGGAGATGAAAACTGTGGCTGCCTTGCCCATGAAATCTTGGTAACTTATAACTTCTTACTTTCTTGGAATAATGAGGACAGGTGTGCAGCCAGCCCCAGCAGGCTTAACTAACTCTTCCTTGCTATTGAAACACTCAAGATGCTCTCTCATAGCATGGATGGTGATGCCAGAGGTATGCTACTGAGTAGTAGTATAGCCAGGGAAAAGGAATATGTAGCAAGAGGGTTTGCACCTGGGTGGTACAAATGGTTAAGTGCTGGGCTACTAACTGAAAGGTTGATGGTTCGAGTCCACCCAGAAGCACCTTAGAAGAAAGGCCTGGTGATCTGTTTCTGAAAGGTCACCTGATGGAACACATTTCTACTCTGATACACATGGGGTCACCAGGAGTCAGAAATGACTCAATGGCAACTGGTTTGGTTTTTTTGTTTTAGCAAGGGGGAGGAGACGCTGGAGGTCTGGGTCCTCAGTCCATAGATATCTCGAAGTTGGCATATCCCATCCTTGGCTGCCACATTTCTCTCCTCAGAAAGTAAGGTGGCTGCCAGGAACTCTTGGGTAGGGAAGACCAAGACCCTTGGATCTTCAGTGTGGGGCTATTTTTTTTGGCCCTCTATTCAATGGTATACTGGTAAATGCTTAACAATCTGCTCTCAAGGAAAAAAAAAAAGCCTTGATTTGTTGTGACAGCTGATTTCTATGTTGTAAATACGCCCACCGTGGCTGATTTTAAGCTACCAGTGTGATCTCACTGAACTTGAATTTAGGAGGAGATGCGTATGGATTTACGCAGAGAGCCAGTACAAGCCAGCTCCAGCACACCACGGATGATTTACAGAAAGAAGATTGAATGACATATAGCCAGGTTCTTACCATTCCTGGGCTGCTTTTAAAAACAAACATAAAAATGAAACAAGATAGACTTGAGTATTATACACTAAACTGAAAGCAGTTTTAATGTAGTTCTGTTTACAGTACCACCAAATAATTTTAAAAAATTGTTATTGTGGCAAAATATATATAACATAAAATTTGCCATTTTAAGGGTACTATTCAGTGACATTAATTACATTAAAAATATTGTGCAAACGTCATCACTATCTATTTCTAAAACTTTTTCATCACCCTAAACAGAAACCCCGCACCCCTTAAGCCATAACTCCCCATTCTTTCCTCCCCTCCACCCTAGTCCTTGGCAATCTCCAATCTACTTTCTGTCTCTATGAATTTGCCTATTGTAAATCTTTCGTTAAGTGGAATCGTACAATCTTTGTCCTTTTGTGTATGACTTATTTTACTAAGCATAATGTTTTTGAGGTTCATCTAGGTTGTACCATGTATCAGGTCTTCTTTCCTTTTTGTGACTGAATAATATTCCATTATATGAATATGGCACATTTTGTTTATCCATTTGTCTGTTAATGGACACTTGAGTTGTTTCCCCTTCTGGCTATTGTGAATAATGTTGAAATGAATATTGGTGTACATGTATCTGTTTGATTCCCTGTTTTCAAGCCTTTTGGGTATACACCTGGGAGTGGAATTGCTGAGTCATATGGTAATTCTGGAGCCCAGGTGGCACAGTGGAAAGGTTGGTGGTTTGAACCCACCAGCCACTCCACAGGTGAAATACGTGGCAGTCTACTTCCTAAAGATTTTACAGCCTTGGAAACCCGTGGGGCAGTTCTCCTCTGTCCTGTAGGATCACTATGAGTCGGAATCCATTTGATGGCAATAGGATATGGTAATTCTATGTTTAACCTTTTGAGGAACTCCCAAACTGTTTTACACGGTGGTTGCACCATGTTACATTCCCACCTCCAATTTCTCCTTGCCAACATTTGTTATTTTCTGTTTTAATAATAGCTGTATTACTATGAAGTAATATCTCCTTGTGGTTTTCATTTTCATTTTCCTAAAGACTAATGATGTTGAGCATCTTTTCATGTGCTTATTGGCCATTTGTGTATCTTCTTTGGAAAAATATCTATTCAAGTCCTTTGTCCACTTTTTTTTTTTTTCCTTATTGAGTTGTAGGAGTTCTTTATATATTCTGGATATTAAGCCCTTATCAGACTTATGATTTCCAAATATTTTTCCCATTCTAAACACTGTTATGGATTGAATTGTGTCCCCCTGAAATATGTGTTTTAAATTCTGCTATACCTGTGGTTATAATTCCATTTGGGAATAGGGTTTTCTTTGTTATGTTAATAAGGCAGTCTTAGTGTAGGGTGTGTCTTCAGTCAATCTCTTTTGAGATAAAAAAGAGCAGATTAAGCAAGCAGTAAGAAAGCACAGATGGGAGAAGATAGATGCCACGCCACATGAGATCTCCAAGGAATCAGTAAACAAGCTGAAAAGAGACAAAGACCTTTCCCCCAGAGCCAATAGAGACAGAAAACTTTCCCCTAGAGCTGGCACCCTGAATTTGGACTTCTAGCTTCCAAAACTGTGAGAAAGTAAATTTGTTTGTTAGAGCCATCCACTTGTGCTATTTCTGTTAGAATAGAACTAGATAACTAAGATGGTTGTCTTTTCACTTTCTTGATAATTTATCTGTTTTGTCTTTTGTTGCTTGTGCTTCTGGTGTTGTATCTAAGAATCCATTGCCAAACGCTAGGTCAAAAAGATTTACCCCTATGTTTTCTTCTAAGAGTTTTACAGTTTTAGCTCTTATATTTAGAGTTAATTTTTGTATGTGGTGTGAGGTAGAGGTCCAACTTCATTCTTTTGCATGTGGAGATCCAGTTGTCCCAGCACCATTTGTTGAAGAAACTGTTCTTTCCCCTACCAAACGAACTTGGCACTCTTGTTGAAAATCAATTGGTCTTAGATGTATGGGTTTATTCTGGGCCCTCAATTCTATTCCAGTGGTCTATATGTCTATTCTTATGCCAGTACCACACTGTTTTGATTACTGTAGCTTTGTAGTAAATTTTGAACTTCAGGTAGTGTGAGTCCTCCTACTTTATTGTTTTTCAAGACTGTTTTGGCTAGTCAGGGTTCCCTGCAATTCCATATGAATTTGAGGATTGGCTTTCTCATTTCTGCAAAATAGCTGTTGGAATTTTGGGGCTTGCATTGGATCTGTAGATCGCTTTGGGTAGTATTGACATCTTAACAATATTAAGTCTTCCAATCCATGAACACAGGATGTCCTTCCATTTATTTAGGTCTTCTTTAAATTCTATCAGTAATGTTTTGTAGTTTTCAGTGCACAAATGTTTCACCTCCTTGGTTAAATTTTTCCTAGGTATTTTATTCCTTTAGATGCTATTGTAAATGGAATTGTTTTCTTAATTCTGTTTTGGATTGGTTGTTGCTGACTCCTCAAGAATTTCAGATCGATTTTCTTTAATTATCCTTCACATGTCAACTTTCTTCCCTGCCTCGTAGGCTTTTCTACCATGGAAATTAGGTTTCTTGCTCTCTCTTTCTTTCTCTTTTTCCTGGATACTACAAGGATTTAGTATCGATGCTCTAAATTCTCCCAAAGCATTCAGTTACTTCTTGAGAATTTTTGAAACTGCATGTGTTGCAGAGTAGAACTGCTCCATAGGGTTTTCTTGGCTGTAATCTTTATGGAAGCAGATCACCAGGACTTTCTTCCTCAGTACCACTGAGTGGTTTCGAACCACCAACCTTTAAGTTAGTAGCTGAGCACAAACCATTTGTACCACCCAGGTACTTATTCTTAGATGATTACTTGCTGTATTTTACTGTAGAAGCTCAACAGTATGCCAATTCTCCAATTTAACTCACACCACAAACAGGACATACAGAAAGAATATCAGAACTTTTTTCTGCCTATAGTTGATCTGGTCTTTCTCCAGACTACTGTTCAGTAAATTTAAACTTAGTTTGATCTGATAATCTAAACTGTCCATTTGGGAAATGTACTCAGTCTATTATTTGGATAAAATGTTCAGTCTTTCTGGAAGCCTCCCTTTTTCCTGCTTCTCTCACTAAGGTGCATTGGGGAGAAGGTCCCCATAATCTCATTCTGGTCTTTAAATGTTTGTTGGCTAGTGTCCTTTATCTACATGAATGGTTGCTCCCCTTGTTGCTGAAATTTGTGTCTGTGGGTGTTGGGGTGATGAACTTTTCTGTTCTTTTGGTTTGGCCAGTACACACCCTAGTTGGGGCTTCCCCAGATACTGATGGCTGCAGATGCCTGAATCTCTGCCACATCTACCTTTGGCCCTGGGCCAGGCAGTCCACCATCTGGCTTGGTTCATAGAGGCCCTCTAGCTGTCATGTCCACGTCAACTCCTCCATGGACCTAAGGGAGGGTGGGAAAAGTCACATCTTAGCACCTATCTGTTCATGCTGAGCAAATTTTCTGTGGCTGTACCCCAGAAGAGTGGGGGCAATACCCCTTCCCTGACCTCACTGTCAACTTTACCTATTTATCACACTTCCCTATCCTTCACTGCAGCCTTCCAGCCCCCACACCTCTCAATCCCCCGGGACATCTGTAACAGAGAGCACACACCTAACCACTTCACCCTCTTTCTTCTTTCCACTGTCTCCAGGGCAGAAAAGGTACAGGCTTTTTGTATGCTCTCCTGATACCATAGTCTCTCTTTCTCACAGTGGTTTAGCTGTCTCCCATGGGTATGACATCCCTTCCATCCCTCAGGAGAACTCCATTATTTGAGTCCTCCAGGATGTTGTCTTAAATGGAATTCATCAGCATTTAGAGCATGTTTTCTTCAGACAAAAGCTTGGCTTGCTACAAAATCCAAAGCTAGATTTCAAAAGTTCAGTATTTCCTTGGTCTTTCTCTTTTGGTTTCTTATGTAACAAACTCCAATCTTTTCAGGCAAACAGATACCAAGAACAGATTAGGAAAAAGGGTTTTTTTTTTTTTTTTGTTTACTGTGAATCCAAAGAGAAAACAAAGAAAGATACATAAATCACTAAAACCATTAAAGCGAATTTGGAATTTATGGGAATTTAGGAAGACCATTACATCTGAAGTAAGCAAGTAGAATCAACTAGTAAACAAGTAACTCATCCATTCCAAAAAGACAAGGTAAAATAGGATGTTCTCCACCCTCAAAAAGTTTGGGGGTAAGGGACTGAGAGGTGGGGGCAGAACCTCT